GAAAGAAAGAAAGAAAGAAAGAAAGAAAGAAAGAAAGAAAGAAAGAAAGAAAGAAAGAAAGAAAAGAAAGAAAATAAATGTGCCAGTATGACTCAGGCTGATCACACCTGTTCCAGTGCAGGCAGCCAGGATCAACCAAGACCTCCAGCCCCAAAGACAATAATTCTTACATTCTATTCCTCAACGCCTTGAACTCCAGAAAATGTCCAGGGCAAGTGTGTCTGTTCCTGGGGAATAAGAGGCTAATTTTAGTAAGAACGAGCAAAGTGGCTGTTTACTATTTCCATTTTGGAGGGCAGCATTTTCCAGAGTACTTTGCCATTATTTTCTTCCTACAGGAGAGAGAGCAACTGGCCCCCAGGCCCCCTAACAAGGCTGTTGAGTGGTCCAGTGAATAGCTGAATAATATGTTAACATACAGAGATAGATTTATGGGGAAATTCTTTAGGGTAAAGGCTACCAATATCTGGAATCTGACTATGCTTGAAGAATTATGGTCATGCTGGACTTGCTAAGAGATATATATTAAGAAATGAGAAAAATATTTCTATCAATGATTAGAGTCAAGAAATGTGTGACTTTTCTTTTTAGTAAATAAAATAAATAAAATGAAAAGCTAACAAGCTCAGTTTTGGGATCTTAATTAGCTGATTAGATCCCCCAGGTACTGCCTGGAACTGACCATATCTTAATCAGTTTCACACTCAAAGTTTTTGATGCCAGACTGATGAAATTTGGTCTTAAAGGTAGACAATCATATTTTATTTTGATTTGTAAACTGTCGCCAAATGTGGTAGTTGCTAAATGAAAACTAGCTGTATTATATCTTTGACAGAACTTTTATTCTTTTTAAGAAAGTAGCATTTAATAAGCATTGCAGAATTTCAACCATTCTCAGAAATGAATAATTCCTTCATATGGCAACTCGGTCATCCTGCCACACATGCCCTGCTCTCCAAGAATTCACGCTGGAGTGTCTCGTTTACTTTACCTGAAACAGAGTGATCCTTTGGGTCGCTCAGGAGTCTCAGCCTTGCATGAGGGAAGGTGTATTGGATGGGCTTCCCAATAATCTAGGGAATACAAAATGCAAATGCGGATTCAAGGTTATCCCTTAGGTAGATAGTTATTTTAAATTAAAGCATTAGCCTTGCAAACACTACGTTTGGAAATACAACCCGCCTCTTTTTAACACAAACAAGTACAACTATTGGTATTTCCAATTGCACTCAGCACTGGAGGTAGTTGTTCACTGCGATTGTGTGCAGTAATGTTGATCCCAAGGAAGGGACGGCCTCCATTTCACAGTCTGAGCGTCAGTGAGCACAGATGACAGCGTTGTCTCTTTCATTCTAGCCTTTCAGAGAAAAATGGAATAAACCAGAGCATGCTGGGGGGGCGGGGGGGGAGAGATCACTGGCACACTCAGCCTCCTAAGCTGCTTCTGTAGAGATGGGCATAATTTCAGGTAAAAGCAGTTTACAATCTGGTTTCAAAGTTTCAATAGCTACCCCACCTATAGTCACATTACTGCATTTGGGAGCTTGGGCCACTGGCCCTTTGCATTTATGGCCCTTTGCATCGTCCTGCAGCCATGCGACCACAATTTACGGAGTTTTTGCTGTAAACCAGCATTTACTTCTGGTTTGTGGCAAAAAACATCCCTAAAACAGCTTTGCTTAGTGACTATGGTGTTCACTTAATGACTACCACAAAAATGGTCATACAATTATGTCAGTCATAGGATGGTCCACAAGTTGACTAGTACAACTTACAACTGTAATTGCCAGGCTCAACAACAGTCATAAGCGGAGGACATAAATCTCTCTCTATAAAAGCGAAATACCACTCATGCATCATCACAAAATCTCCAGAACCGTAAAGCCTACAAACTTGAAATTTGGGATGTATGTTCCTCTTGGCTTCTAGGGGCTCACTAAGAAAGGGTTTTTCTAAATGACCATCAGAGCATTTAGAGTATTTCCTATATTATTATTAACACACTCTGATGCTAAAGAGTTCTACTCCCCCTCCCCCCCGAAAAGAAATCGGTTCCAAATGCAAAACACACGCAGAGGAGAGGATTTTCAGTCTCAGTTTCACAGCACCAAGCAACTGTAGTACAGAACAGTTGAGCTAAGCCACGCCCAGGCTCCTTGCTGTCTCCTTGCTCACACAGCAAATACTGTTTCAGTTTCCAAACAGCCCTCAACTCTCTCACACATTGACAGGACGCTAGGCAGATGAATACTGACGAATGCTGGTAGGCAGAGGCAGAATTTTCCTTTCCTCCCAAAAAAGTAAGCCTGACCACCTAGTTTCATAGCAAAGCACGGGTATCGAGCTAGTTGTAATATAAAACTGTCTGATCTTCATGACTATTTGTAAGTACGAGGGCTTCTTTCTTTGTAGTAGTCCTGGTTCTCTGGTCGGTATAATATCTAACCACAGATCAAAACAAATATTTGCACAAATATCTAAGTGGCTTTAATGAAAAAGTACAAAATCTGAGTAATGATCAAACACTTCATATGCCTAAATGTTCAGAGAATATTTTGGATCTGAAGAAGGGCCAAACACTTGCTAATTATAAATTCCTTTGTTCATGAAATCTCCTCCCATGAGGTTCTTCAATCATCTCCCATTAGTGTTAAAAGTTTAACTATCATAAATATTCCTGACACTTGCTGTACATTATTCAGAAAAAACATGTTCAGGAGTAATTTTAAAGCCAAAGGGATGTATCCATGTCTGGACCTTCTCCGTTTGGGTTTGTTTCAATACTTTCACATGAAGGTTGCCACATCCATAGTTGTGCACTTTTGAATTAACCGGGCAAACACACAGTCCTAAAAACGTTTCATGATCATTGAAAATCTTTGTAATAAATATGGCTATAAACCCAGCCTTTCTGGGTATCCAGAGATCAATACAGTATTTTGGTTGCCTGCAGCAAACAGTGAAAATGACGGTTGGCTGGATGAAGATAACTGACGCAGTATATTTCTTGTGGATGGAAACTGAAGATAAAAAGCAAAATACATGGAAAAATGTATAGTGTTTTCTTTTTGAAAGCCTTTCTTTGTTAGGACACTTCAATCCGGAAAAACGCTATATAAATTTCTTATGGGTGCAGAGTAATGATCCAAGCTCTGTAAAGGACATTGGAGTACTCATCTCTAATGATCTAAGTGCCAGAGCCCACTGTAACTACATAGCCAAAAGGCATTAAGAGTTGTTAAGCTAATCCTACCTAGCTTTTTCTCTGGTAATATCACAGTACTAACTAGAGCATACAAAACATTTGCTAGACCTATACTTGAATATAGCTCATCAGTCTGGAACCCGCATTACGTATCTGATATTAACACAGTTGAGAAAGTCCAGAAATATTTCACAACAAGAGTTCTCCACTCCTCTACTCATTGCAAAATATCTTATGCCACCAGACTTGAAATTCTAGACCTAGAAAACCTAGAACTATGCCGCCTTCGGTCCGATCTAACTATAGTATATAAAATCATACATTGCAATGTCCTACCTGTCAATGAATACTTCAGCTTCAACCATAACAACACAAGAGCAAACAATAGATACAAACTCAAGGTTAACCGCACCAAACTTGATTGCAGGAAATACGACTTCAGCAATAGAATGGCCAATGTCTGCAATACTCTGCCTGACTCTGTGGTTTCTTCCCTAAACCCCAAAAACTTTAACCTTAGACTGTCTATTATTGACCTCACCCCATTCCTAAGAGGTCTGTAGGGGGCATGCATAAGCGCACCAACCTGCCTACCGTCCCTGTCCTATTGTTTCTTTTATTTTTCTTATATGTACCCATTTCATGTATTCATAACTATGTATATACTTATACCTATTATCTTGTAAGCAATTGACAAATCAAATAAATAAATAAAATAAAATAAATACAGTCTCCTGCAATTACAGTCAGAGACTGGCTCACATTTAAGATATAGGGAAATACCAGAAAGATTGTTCCATGATTTTACATTAAGGTACCCTTTTTTTAATACTCAGTTTCCTCTTTAACCCACCCACCCTCCAGCAACAAAAATGAAAAATCCATAAAGTTTCCTTCCTATTTGCTATTCTATCATCTTTAAACAAGGAAGAAAATCGCATAGTGTATTTTCCTAAAATGTTAAAAAAAAACCCACTCAATTTCATAATAGCCCACAGATAAGGAAAAGAACTGTGGCCTATTTTTTTCCCCAGTGGCAACTTTCCAATCCCAAGCAAAGTTATGAAAATAAAATAAAAGCAGTAATTATATTTTTAAAAAATAAAAATAAATTGGCCCCATCGACTTAGGGCTTTTCCTCTTGTTGTACCAAGCCTGGCATGACCCCTATGCAGAGAGACATTATGCACCCTCAAGCAAAGCTTGCCTGGGGTCTTGGAACCTTAACTGGGAAGCTTATAACTCCCAAGGCAGCGGACGAGCTTTTCTTCAGCACTTGTGGGTGTCTTCCCACCTCTCCTGGGTAGTTAAAGCGGCCACCTCTTTGTAGGAGAGGGCAACTTCTTTGTCTGTTCCCTTCTCAAAAGAGCCACCTGGGCCTTCTTGTCTCAACTACTATTATCCTGCCTCCAAGCTCCCCAAATCCTGGTGGAGAAAGAGCTACAGAGAGCTGCGGAATAAGGAGGAGGAGGAGGAGGAGGAGGAGGAAGAAGAAGAAGAAGAAGAAGAAGAAGAAGAAGAAGAAGAAGAAGAAGA